AATGATCTGACGGGTGAGTGGGGGGGGGATTTCTAGAGAATGTCAAGAGTCTTGGAAGAGGTGGGAGTATCCCACCACACGCAGCAAGCTGCCGATCACAGACTGACGGTGGTGAACCCCTGTCTGCTGCTGCTGATGCGTGGACGGGGCGCGGCGGATTTAAGAACCTCGCCGACGTCGTTTCAACCGCCGTGCCGGGAGAGACCCGGAGGTAGCCGGTCCCAGCGCGCCAACCGCTACGGCGACAGTCGCGCTCCTCTCTCCCTCTCTCGCACCCTGAGCCGGTCGCCAGCGCCGGCGCCGCTCCTTCAAACGCAGCGGAGGTTCCCGGAGCGCCGGGGACCACGCGGGGCTTCGGCTGCAAATCGATGTTCCCGGAGCACCATGGTTTTTCCGACCGCCCTGGAACCCGCGGCACGCGACTGCCGCCACCGCTGCCGCCAACCGTCAAACTGTTTCGGCGTCATGCCTTGTGCATCGATTTAACAATTTTTTATATCACCAGGTAAAGCCCCACTGAGCGATGTAGCTCTTTTGCAGAAGCGACCTGGCTATCACACGTAATGATAGCCCAACGAAGTGTGGCTTATCACGTGGAAATCCATCGCAGCCAAATACTCTAAAACGCGTGACGTCGATTCTAAACGGGAGAAAAATCCACACGACCACGAGGAGAGGGAGAACACACTAACTCCAAATATACAGCAGCAGGCACCGTCAGGGTCGGGATCGAACCCATGACCTCCTGCATACCAGGCGAGAGAGTTAATGTCTCCTAGCCACCGCAGAGCCTCATCACAATGTCGACTTGCAATGCGACAGCACGAACCGTGCTAAATAATCTCGTAGCGACAGAGAGAGGACGACTCAGAGGCGGGAGAAACCCGCACAGGACAGGGGGAGAACCTACAGACTCCGTGAAAAGAGAGGGCGCCCGAGTCGGGAATCGAACCCAGGCACCTGTCGCTGTTAGTCGCCGGTGTCCCCACCGCAGTTCCATCCTTTTGGTTCAGATCGCGGTGTGGGTGTGAAGCCAGTACAGGTGTTGAGGAGTAGAGTGGTGATGGGATGTCACACTCGCCTCGGGAGGAGTGACGTCATGTCCCCTCGGGGTATTTGAGGGGGAACCCGTGACGTGTTCGGGGTCTTCGCCAGGAGCCGGGTTTGTGAGCGGTAGAGAAGTGGGGACCCAGGGTAGGGGAGAAGTAGCACCAGGCTAGGGGGGGGCTATTTTACCCGGCTGGCCGAGTTGGTTGAACCATCGGTCAACGCTGTGGGAAAAGCCCGTTAGCCTGGGAGGTGTAGGGATTCCCAGTACCCTTTCCCCTGGGAAGATTAGCTTAGCCAAGTCCTGTGGTTAACCCTTCCCCTAAATTTAGGCGGAAAGCCCTTAATAAACAGTTTGGCGTCAGCCCCCACAACGACTGCTCTTCGTGTTGTCTTTACACCGTAACACAGGGACTCCTCTATTTACGAACAACTTAGGCTCCAGAGGTCTGTTCTTAGGTCAACTTTACTCCTGTCAATTCAAAAAACGTGTTGTACGGCATGTACCGTATTTTCCCGCATATAACCTGCGGGGTATACCACTTTTTACAAACGAAACAAGACCCTGTGGGATATATGGAGGTGCGGACTATCCCAAAAAGATTTTACATGTGTGACATGTCATGACTCGTTTAATTTTTGCATGGTAGGACTATCCACTATGCAACACTAACCTTTGACTAAAGCAGTGCTGAATAAACCACTCACACTAAAATTGCACACGTTATCCCGTTTTAAATGATTCTAATTGTTTGCACAATTAAACGACAATGCTTGAAGTGGGCGCACTTTGTTTACCGGTCATGGGAGAGCTGGGGGGAGGGAGAGGTGGGGGGTTGGGGGTGAGGCATTGGCCTTACCGTAGTGCCGCTATTGTCTGCGCAGTGCGCAATCTAACAGTGCTAACACTTTGATTTAAAGCTTTCGTGACTGCAGTAATTCATATTCTTAGTTCTTTCGGTAAAGTCACGTTGAAGGGAAACAACAAAATAATAAAATATATATAAAACAATAAAATAATAATAATTTTTTATATAAAACAATAAAAATTTAATAAATGTTTTTATTGTTTTATATATTTTTTATTATTTTGTTGTTTCCCTTCAACGTGACTTTACCGAAAGAACTAAGAATATATAGTGCTAAAACTGTACTTACTTATCTACCAGTTATGTGTTACTTATTTATTGGATATTTCTTCTTTGGTTCTTTCGGTAAAGTCACGTAGAATGAGAATAAAATAATAAAATAAAACAAGAAAATTCTCACGACGTTTCGGCTACAACACAAGTGGCCTTCTTCAGGTGAAAGGAACAAACCTGTCGGGACGACAGAGCTACAATGAACGCTGCTAAGATTCGCAGCGTCTTTTAAGCTGGTTGAGAGAAGTGAGGCACCTTGACAAAGGGGTTTACATATCAAACAGGAGAATTTAGCATTGAAACAGTTGAGGGATTAGCTTGTGACTGGTCACAGAAAAAGCTATGTTAAAGTCAAAGCCTACACATCCACAAAGGCACCTCGTACATGGACGCCAAAGGGGCTGCAACAACTCAACTATCACACAGTAAGCCCATTTGAAAAAAAACCTAAGTCTAAATTACATCAATATAATAAATGTACTCAATGTATTCTTCAATAAGCAGAGCTATTAACAGCAACTGGGTATACACTGCACTATATAATGAATACCATGTAGTAAACAGATAAAAAAAACTAAAATATAAACTACCTCAATGTTATCAATAAACTCTATATATTCTCCAATCAGCTGAGCTACCAACAATAAGTCGTTATATATCACGATGCTATATGGCGAAAAAATGGGTGGATTCTTACCCTCCACATCAGTACCATGGACTGCTACGAGCCCCGTTCAGACGGACGAGTCCATCATGGTCGGAACAGAGGAGAGAAACAGCTGCGAGGCGCTGTTATAATCATGTTATAAACCATACCATTAACCGTGGTGTGAGAAGTATTAAGAGTCAATGCCAGCGAAAGAGCTGCGGTCTGAAGGTCACCATAAAATAATTAATTAAGAAACGAAATGGTTTAAAACATCTTTCCAATGGTTACTAAGCCAGAATCCATCTTCTCGGTTGAAATTGTCTCTGTGCTTGTATATGTGGATAGCCTCATGAACGAATCTCTCATGGTAGCCGGTTGGCTTGCAAAGAACCTCCGTCTTGGAGAAGTCAATGTCATGTGAGCCCACTGAATTATAACAGTGATCTGCCACGGCGGAGGAGTTCATTCTACCGTGTTTCAAGTCTGCTTTATGTTCGCGGATGCGGTCTGAGATATATCGCTTGGTTTCTCCAATATAGCTACTACCACGGAGGCACTTTAGTTTGTAAACGCCCGGGTACTGTATGTCTGGAAGAGCATCTTTTACAGATGGAACCAGATCACGGATTTTATGTACTGTGTTGAATCTGACCTGGATCTTGTGTTTATTCAGGATTTTGGAGATCTTTTTAGTGACCCCTGCAATGTAGGATAAGGTGATGGTTTTGAATGGCTCCACAAGAGGATCCTTCTTCATGACTGGAGTGATGGCTTTGCGGATTGTGTAGTCGGAGTAACCATTAGCCCTGAGAGCCTGTTGTACGTGTTTGAGTTCACTGGTAATGTGTTCCTGGTAAACCCCTTTGTCAAGGTGCCTCACTTCTCTGAACCAGCTTAAAAGACGCTGCGAATCTTAGCAGAGTTCATTGTAGCTCTGTCGTCCCGACAGGTTTGTTCCTTTCACCTGAAGAAGGCCACTTGTGTTGTGGCCGAAACGTCGTGGGAATTTTCTTGTTTTATTTTATTATTTTATTCTCATTCTACGTGACTTTACCGAAAGAACCAAAGAAGATTAATCCTTGCAGTCACGAAAGCTTTATATTGGATATTTACTTTGTTACTTATTTACTGTTTTAAGTTAACTCGTTTCCAGTTAGTTTGTTTTCTTTGTGCATGTTATGATTGTAATGTTAACAATTGATAGTGGAATGTATTACAAATGTAAACTTCGTATTAATATGATGGAATTAAGCTGTGGTAACGACGATAAAGATATGAATGCATGCGGGGAATATGGAGGTGGGGGCTATCTGAAATTTGTTATACACAAAACGCTATTTTTGCGGGGTATATGCATCTGCAGGTCATATGCGTATGCGGGCTATATGCGGGAAAATACGGTACACTAAGCAGGGGGAATGGCTTTAAAGTTGGATCACGTTCTGCAGATTATAGATGCCACCACCGCCATCTATTGTGCGGTGGTTGAACTTACGATTCTCGGTCCGATATCCATACAGGTTTGTCCCGTATCTCTGAAAGTTCGTAAGTCAAATGTTCGTTAGTAGAGGAGTCTCAGTAATCAACAACAACTCTGCACCACCCAGCTAGAGGAGCCAATCGAATCGACCTGTCGCGTCGTGTTGGCAAAAGTGCCGAGCGATTTGGTTCGTCGGCAAAAGCAGAGTAGGAGGAACGCTGAAAAGCGGGGACTGCGCCCGGCATTGTCAGGCGCTCACGAGGGCGCGGGGCCAGCACCGCGCCGGGCCAGCACCGCGCCGGGCCAGCACCGCGCCGGGCCAGCACCGCGCCGGGCCAGCACCGCGCCGGGCCAGCACCGCGCCGGGCCAGCACCGCGCCGGGCCAGCACCGCGCCGGGCCAGCACCGCGCCGGGCCAGCACCGCGCCGGGCCAGCACCGCGCCGGGCCAGCACCGCGCCGGGCCAGCACCGCGCCGGGCCAGCACCGCGCCGGGCCAGCACCGCGCCGGGCCAGCACCGCGCCGGCCAGCACCGCGCCCGTGCCACGCCCGGGCCGGGAGCCGGCGCCCCCATCCCCCCGCACCCGGCGCATCGCTATGGCGGCGCGCCGGGCCGGCGCTCCGACCCGCTAGCCGCCCGGCCCCCGACGCGGTTCGCGTTGGGTTCCCGCACGCCGCTCACCCTCGCCCAGCTTCCCCGCCTGCTCGACGGCGCCGTCCGCGATGAACCGGGAGAGGGAGTCCCCGAGGTCGCCGTCGCGCTCGTCAAACTCCCTCTCGGACGGGGCCCTCGCGCCAATGCCGTTCCCTGCACCGCCGGCACCGCCGTCACACACGCGGCACCGCCGTCACACACGCGACACTGCACACACGGCAGTGAGGGAGTGAGCGGCTTAATGGTCGCGCAGATGAGCAAGCGAGTGAGCGAGTGATTGATCGTGCACGTGAGCAGGTGACCAGATGAGAGAATGATTCATCGTGCGGGTGAGCGGGTGAGTGAGCGAGCGTGTGAGCAAGTGAGTGATCGTGCAGGTGAGCGAGCAATTAAGTGGTCATGCAAGTGAGTGAGTGATTGCACAGTTGAGCGGGTGAGTGAGCGGGTGAGCGGATGAGCGAGTGAGCGGGGGCGAGTGATCGTGCGGGTGAGTGATCGTGCAGGTGAACAGGCGGATAAGCAAGTGAGTGATTGTGCAGGTGATCGTGGTAAGCGAGTGATCATACCGGTGAGCGGGTGAGTGAGTAATGGTGCGGGTGAGCAGGTGAGTGAGCAAGCGGGTGAATGAGCGGGTGGGTGAGCAGGCGAGCGAACAGGTGAGTGATGGTGTGGGTGAGTGAGCGAGCTGGTGAGTGAGTGATGGTGCGGGTGGGCGAGTGATGGTGCGGGTGGGCGAGTAATGGTGTGGGTGAGTGAGTGATGGTGCGGGTGGGCGAGTGATGGTGCGGGTGAGTGAGTGAGCAGGTGAGAGAGCGAGCAGATGAGTGAGCAAGCGGGTGATTGAGTGATGGTGTGAGCAAGCGGGTGAGCGAGCGGGTGATTGAGTGATGGTGTGAGCGAGCGGGTGAGCGAGCGAGCAGTTGAGTGATGGTGTGAGCGAGCGGGTGAGCGAGCGGGTGATTGAGTGATGGTGTGAGCGAGCGGGTGAGCGAGCGAGCGGTTGAGTGATGGTGTGAGCGAGCGGGTGAGCGAGCGGGTGATTGAGTGATGATGTGAGCGAGCGGGTGAGCGAGCGGGTGATTGAGTGATGATGTGAGCGAGCGGGTGAGCGAGCGGGTGATTGAGTGATGGTGTGAGTGAGCGAGTGAGCGAGCGAGTGGTTGAGTGATGGTGTGAGCGAGCGGGTGAGCGAGCGGGTGATTGAGTGATGATGTGAGCGAGCGGGTGAGCGAGCGGGTGATTGAGTGATGATGTGAGCGAGCGGGTGAGCGAGCGGGTGATTGAGTGATGGTGTGAGCGAGCGGGTGAGCGAGTGGGTGATTGAGTGATGGTGTGAGTGAGCGAGTGAGCGAGCGGGTGATTTAGTGATGGTGTGAGCAAGCGGTTGAGCGAGCGAGTGGTTGAGTGATGGTGTGAGCGAGCGGTTGAGCAAGCGGGTGATTGAGTGATGGTGTGAGCGAGTGATTGCACAGTTGAGCGGGTGAGTGAGCGGGTGAGCGGATGAGCGAGTGAGCGAGGGCGAGTGATCGTGCGGGTGAGTGATCGTGCAGGTGAACAGGCGGATGAGCAAGTGAGTAATTGTGCAGGTGATCGTGGTAAGCGAGTGATCATACCGGTGAGCGGGTGAGTGAGTAATGGTGCGGGTGAGCAGGTGAGTGAGCAAGCGGGTGAATGAGCGGGTGGGTGAGCAAGCGAGCGAACAGGTGAGTGATGGTGTGGGTGAGTGAGCGAGCTGGTGAGTGAGTGATGGTGTGGGTGGGCGAGTGATGGTGCGGGTGAGTGAGCGAGCGGGTGGGCGAGTGATGGTGCGGGTGGGCGAGTGAGCAGGTGAGAGAGCGAGCAGATGAGTGAGCAAGCGGGTGATTGAGTGATGGTGTGAGCAAGCGGGTGAGCGAGCGGGTGATTGAGTGATGGTGTGAGCGAGCGGGTGATTGCGTGATGGTGTGAGCGAGCGGGTGAGCGAGCGAGCAGTTGAGTGATGGTGTGAGCGAGCGGGTGAGCGAGCGGGTGATTGAGTGATGGTGTGAGCGAGCGGGTGATTGCGTGATGGTGTGAGCGAGCGGGTGAGCGAGTGGGTGATTGAGTGATGGTGTGAGTGAGCGAGTGAGCGAGCGGGTGATTTAGTGATGGTGTGAGCAAGCGGTTGAGCGAGCGAGTGGTTGAGTGATGGTGTGAGCGAGCGGGTGAGCGAGCGGGTGATTGAGTGATGGTGTGAGCGAGCGGGTGAGCGAGCGGGTGATTGAGTGATGGTGTGAGCGAGCGGGTGAGCGAGCGGGTGATTGAGTGATGGTGTGAGCGAGCGGGTGAGCAAGCGGGTGATTGAGTGATGGTGTGAGCGAGCGGATGAGCAAGCGGATGAGTGATGGTGCGGGTGAGTCAGCGAGCGAGCGGGTGAGCGAACGAGCGAGTGAGTGATGGTGCGAGCGAGTGAGCGAGAGGCACACCCGTGGCGTGCAGCGGCTTGAAAGCGGCCCCGTTGGGCACCTCGCCGTACGGCGACAACTCCTGCAGACAGACGGCACGGGGTGAGTACAAGCGCCTGGGTTCAACCCCCGACTCTGGCGTCTCTCCGTTCACCCCCCCCCCCCCGTCATGGGTGTGTATAGTGGTATTGTACTAAATTAACACAGTGTGTAGTGATAGTGTACTAAATAAACACACTGTGTATAGTAGTAGTGTACTAAATAAACACACACACAGTGTGTGTAGTGGTAGTGTACTAAATAAACACACACAGTGTGTGTAGTGGTAGTGTACTAAATAAACAGTGTGTGTAGTGGTAGTGTACTAAATAAACACACAAACACACACACAGTGTGTGTAGTGGTAGTGTACTAAATAAACACACACAGTGTGAAGTGGTTAGTGTACTAAATAAACAAACACAGTGTGTGCAGTAGTAGCGTACTAAATAAACACAGTGTGTGTAGTGGTAGTGTACTAAATAAACACACTGTGTGTAGTGGTAGTGTACTAAATAAACACAGTGTGTGTAGTGGTAGTGTACTAAATAAACACACAGTGTGTGTAGTGGTAGTATACTAAATAAACACCCAGTGTGAGTAGTGGTAGTGTACTAAATAAGCACACAGTGTGTGTAGTGGTAGTGTACTAAATAAACACACTGTGAGTAGTGGTAGTGTACTAAATAAACACACAGTGTGTGTAGTGGTTAGTGTACTAAATAAACACAGTGTGTAGTGGTAGTGTACAAAATAAACACACTGTGTGTGTAGTGGTAGTGTACAAAATAAACACAGTGTGTGTAGTGGTAGTGTACTAAATAAGCACACACACAGTGTGAGTAGTGGTAGTGTACTAAACACAAACACAGTGTGTAGTGGTAGTGTACTAAATAAACACACACAGTGTGTGTAGTGGTAGTGTACTAAATAAACTCACACAGTGTGAGTAGTGGTAGTGTACTAAACACACACACAGTGTGAGTAGTGGTAGTGTACTAAATAAACACACAGAGTGTGTAGTAGAAGTGTACTAAATAAACACAGTGTGTGTAGGGGTAGTGTACTAAATAAACACAGTGTGTAGTGGTAGTGTACTAAATAAACACACACACAGTGTGAGTAGTGGTAGTGTACTAAATACACAGTGTGTGTAGTGGTAGTGTACTAAATAAACACACAGTGTGTGTAGTGGTAGTGTACTAAATAAACACACAGTGTGTGTAGTGGTAGTGTACTAAATAAACACACAGTGTGTGTAGTGGTAGTGTACTAAATAAACACACAGTGTGTGTAGTGGTAGTGTACTAAATAAACACACAGTGTGTGTAGTGGTAGTATACTAAATAAACACACACAGTGTGTGTAGTGGTTAGTGTACTAAATAAACAAACACAGTGTGTAGTGGTAGTGTACTAAATACACACAGTGTATGTAGTGGTAGTGTACTAAATAAACACACACTGTGTGTGTAGTGGTATTGTACTAAATAAACACACACTGTGTGTAGTTGTAGTGTACTAAATAAACACACACACAGTGTGTGTAGTGGTAGTGTACTAAATAAACACACACAGTGTGTGTAGTGGTAGTGTACAAAATAAACACACACACACACAGTGTGTGTAGTGGTAGTGTACTAAATAAACACACACTGTGTGTAGTGGTAGTGTACTAAATACACACACAGTGTATGTAGTGGTAGTGTACTAAATAAACACACACAGTGTGTGTAGTGGTAGTGTACAAAATAAACACACACACAGTGTGTGTAGTGGTAGTGTACTAAATAAACACAGTGTGTGTAGTGGTAGTGTACTAAATAAACACACAGTGTGTGTAGTGGTATTGAACTAAACACACACAGTGTGTGTAGTACTAGTGTACTAAACACACACACAGTGTGTGTAGTGGTAGTGTACTAAATAAACACACAGTGTGTGTAGTGGTAGTGTACTAAACACACACAGTGTGAGTAGTGGTAGTGTACTAAATAAACACACACAGTGTGAGTAGTGGTAGTGTACTAATAAACACACACTGTGTGTAGTGGTAGTGTACTAAATATACACAGTGTGTGTAGTGGTAGTGTACTAAATAAACACACACAGTGTGTGTAGTGGTAGTGTACTAAATAAACACACAAACACACACAGTGTGTGTAGTGGTTAGTGTACTAAATAAACACAGTGTGTGTAGTACTAGTGTACTAAATAAACAAACACAGTGTGTGCAGTAGTAGCGTACTAAATTAACACAGTGTGTAGTGGTAGTGTACTAAATAAACACCCAGTGTGAGTAGTGGTAGTGTACTAAATAAACACACAGTGTGTGTAGTACTAGTGTACTAAATAAACACACACTGTGTGAGTAGTAGTAGTGTACTAAATACACAGTGTGTGTAGTGGTAGTGTACTAAATAAACACACACAGTGTGTGTAGTGGTAGTGTACTAAATAAACACACAGTGTGTGTAGTGGTAGTGTACTAAATAAATACACAAACACACACACAGTGTCTGTAGTGGTAGTGTACTTAAAAAACACACAGTGTGTGTAGTGGTAGTGTACTAAATAAACACACACAGTGTGTGTAGTGGTTAGTGTACTAAATAAACACAGTGAGTAGTGGTAGTGTACTAAATACACACACAGTGCGTGTAGAGGTAGTGTACTAAATAAACACAGTGTGTGCAGTGGTAGTGTACTAATAAACACACACTGTGTGTAGCGGTAGTGCACTAAACACACATACACAGTGTGTGTAGTGGTAGTGTACAAAATAAACACACACACAGTGTGTTTAGTGGTAGTGTACAAAATAAACACAGTGTGTGTAGGGGTAGTGTACTAAATAAATACACAGTGTGTGTAGTGGTATTGAACTAAACACACACAGTGTGTGTAGTACTAGTGTACTAAATAAACACACAGTGTGTGTAGTGGTAGTGTACTAAATAAATACACAAACACACACACAGTGTCTGTAGTGGTAGTGTACTTAAAAAACACAGTGTGTGTAGTGGTAGTGTACTAAATAAACACACACAATGTGTGTAGTGGTTAGTGTACTAAATAAACACAGTGAGTAGTGGTAGTGTACTAAATACACACACAGTGTGTGTAGAGGTAGTGTACTAAATAAACACAGTGTGTGCAGTGGTAGTGTACTAATAAACACACACTGTGTGTAGCGGTAGTACACTAAACACACATACACAGTGTGTGTAGTGGTAGTGTACAAAATAAACACACACACAGTGTGTTTAGTGGTAGTGTACAAAATAAACACAGTGTGTGTAGGGGTAGTGTACTAAATAAATACACAGTGTGTGTAGTGGTATTGAACTAAACACACACAGTGTGTGTAGTACTAGTGTACTAAATAAACACACAGTGTGTGTAGTGGTAGTGTACTAAATACACAGTGTGGGTAGGGGTAGTGTACTAAATAAACACACACTGTGTGTAGTGGTAGTGTACTAAACACACACACACACTGTGTGTAGTGGTAGTGTACTAAATAAACACAGTGTGTGTAGTGGTAGTGTACTAAATAAAGAGTGTGTGTAGTGGTAGTGTACTAAATAAACACAGTGTGTGTAGTGGTAGTGTACTAAATAAACACACACTGTGTGTAGTGGTAGTGTACTTAATAAACACACAGTGTGTGTAGTGGTAGTGTACTAAATAAACACACAGTGTGTAGTGGTAGTGTACTAATAAACACACAGTGTGTGTAGTTGTAGTGTACTAAATAATCACACACACACAGTGTGAGTAGTGGTAGTGTACTAAAAAAACACAGTGTGTGTAGTGGTAGTGTACTAAATAAACACACACTGTGTGTAGTGGTAGTGTACTAAATAAACACACAGTGTGTGTAGTGGTAGTGTACTAAATAAACACACAGTGTGTGTAGTGGTAGTGTACTAAATACACAGTGTGTGTAGTGCTAGTGTACTAAATAAACACACTGTGTGTAGTGGTAGTGTACTAAATAAACACAGTGTGTGTAGTACTAGTGTACTAAATAAACACACTGTGTGTAGTACTAGTGTACTAAATAAACAGTGTGTGTAGTACTAGTGTACTAAATAAACACACACTGTGTGTAGTACTAGTGTACTAAATAAACACACTGTGTGTAGTACTAGTGTACTATATAAACACAGTGTGTGTAGTACTAGTGTACTAAATAAACACACTGTGTGTAGTACTAGTGTACTAAATAAACACACTGTGTGTAGTACTAGTGTACTAAATACACAGTGTGTGTAGTACTAGTGTACTAAATAAACACACAGTGAGTGTAGTGGTAGTGTACTAAATAACACAGTGAGTTGTGGTTCCTCAATTTTCTATTCACACAGCGGCATCGCCCCGACCGGAGAACCACCCCCACTGTACCTCGTTTGGCTGGCAAGCCAAGATACTGTACAGTGTAGCCCCCCCTCCCTCGCCCCCCCTCGCCCCCCCCCTCCCCCGCCCCCCCTCCCTGGCCCCCCACAACTCACTGAGGGAGTTTGCCATCGCCCCCACAAAGCCGCCCCCAATCGTCGCCGTTCACCCAACAACTCGCGTCGCCACGGCAACGGACCCCCACCCCTTCCCATGCGCACCCTGCGATGGTTGCCATGGTGATGCCTCGGATGCTGCTGCCGCCGCTGCTGCTGGTGCTCGTGGTTGCCGTGGTTGTTGTGGTTGCCGTGGTTGTTGTGGTTGTCGTGGTTGTTGTGGTTGTCGTGGTTGTCGTGGTTGTTGTGCATCGCGGTTGCCGCGGGAGACCCCGGAGACGCCGGGGGTCCAGCGGCGGCGGCGGCTGCGGCGGCGCGGAGGCGGAGGAGGAGGAGGAGGTGGTCAGGCCCGCCGCGACGACTTCGCCGGGAGGCTCCCTGCACCTCCTCCTCCTCCTCCCACGGCTGATGCGCTTGACGGGGCAGACGCAGCGGCGTGTGACCGGGGGGAGTGGCGGTGGGCGGTGCCCCCTACTACCCATCCCCCACTACCCCCCCACTACCCCCCACTACCCACCCCCCACTACCCACCCCCCACTACCCCCCCACTACCCACCCCCTCTACCCCCCCCCACTACCCACCCCCTCTACCCCCCCCACTACCCACCCCCCAAACAAAGCGAGTGCTCGTTTTAGACACCGCCAGCGGGGGGAGGGATGATTGGATGAGTCAAGGTCACTCGCCCAACTAATGAGGATTATAACTCCCAACCTTGGGATCGTGACACGCGGAGGAGTGCGGTGGTGGTGGTGGTGATGAGTCTTGGTGGTGACGAGTCGTGGTGGCGGTGGTGATAGTGGTGGTGGTAGCGATGATGGTGGTAGTGATTTTTGTTATTTTATTTTTTTACCTACGTGACTTTACCCAATAGAACCAAAGAGTATGGTGGTGGTGGTGTTGGGAGGGGTGATGATAGTGGTGGTGGTGTTTGTAGGGGTGGTGGTGATGGTGTTAGTAAGGGTGATGGCAGTGGTGGTGTTTGCAGGGGTAATGATAGTGGTGGTGATGATGACAGTGGTGGTGGTCACAGATCGTGCATCTGGTAACGATTATGATCATCGTGGCGGTGGTCGTGACGACGACGGTGCTGATGGCGGTGGCGGTGACATCCACGCATTCGGTCGCACGCGAAGCGGTTACCTTGCCCGCCGGGGAAGCCAACGCGCCGCTGGTTTAGGGGCTCCAGCCGGGCCCCCATCCCCGGCTGCCGCCTGCGCGCCTCCTGCTCCGTCGGCCGCCGCCGCACCTCGGAACCCGGCGCCTCGTCCCACTCGGGGGCCGCGCGGGCCCGCCGCTCGGGGCTGGCGGCCCGAGGACGCTCGCGAGCCCGGCCAGACCCGGCGCGGTCGGCGCCCGGCGTCACCGCCCCGGCCCCGTCGGCGCGGCGGTGCCGGGGCGGCGGGAAGCGCGGCGGAGGCGGCGGCGCGTTGGGGTCGCAGGAGTAACGCTCGGCGTAGTCGTGGAGGGGAGGGCCGTAGCCGTTGTAGCCGATTTCGCCATCGTCGTCGTCGTCGTAAAGGAGAACGCTGTCACCGACCACACGGTGACGGCAGCAGCAGAAGCAGAGGCAGCAGAAGCAGAGGCAGCAGAGGCAGCAGAAGCAGAGGCAGCAGAAGCAGAGGCAGAGGCAGCAGAAGCAGAGGCAGAGGCAGCAGAAGCAGAGGCAGAGGCAGCAGAAGCAGAGGCAGAGGCAGCAGAAGCAGAGGCAGAGGCAGCAGAAGCAGAGGCAGAGGCAGCAGAAGCAGAGGCAGAGGCAGCAGAAGCAGAGGCAGAGGCAGCAGAGGCAGAGGCAGCAGAGGCAGAGGCAGCAGAAGCAGAGGCAGAGGCAGCAGAAGCAGAGGCAGAGGCAGCAGAAGCAGAGGCAGAGGCAGCAGAAGCAGAGGCAGAGGCAGCAGAAGCAGAGGCAGAGGCAGCAGAAGCAGAGGCAGAGGCAGCAGAAGCAGAGGCAGAGGCAGCAGAAGCAGAGGCAGAGGCAGCAGAAGCAGAGGCAGAGGCAGCAGAGGCAGAGGCAGCAGAAGCAGAGGCAGAGGCAGCAGAAGCAGAGGCAGAGGCAGCAGAAGCAGAGGCAGAGGCAGCAGAAGCAGAGGCAGAGGCAGCAGAAGCAGAGGCAGAGGCAGAAGAAGCAGAGGCAGAGGCAGCAGAAGCAGAGGCAGAGGCAGCAGAAGCAGAGGCAGAGGCAGCAGAGGCAGAGGCAGCAGAAGCAGAGGCAGAGGCAGCAGAAGCAGAGGCAGCAGAAGCGGAGGTCATTCACTCTGACGTCACCGCCACACCCAAGTGTGGCTAACGTGGTTCAGGTTAAGGTTCACGAGAATCCAGAAGGGCCGTCCCGGCACGGGTTAGGGTTCACGAGAATCTGGTAAAGCCAGCCTGGCTTGGGTTGTGGTTCGGGAGAATCCGGTAGAGCTAGTGTGGCACTCGGGGTAACAGTGATTCTGTTTTTTTAATGCAGCTGCCCTCCACGCAGAGCTTCACATCGCATCCGAAACCTAATATGGGATTGCTGTGGTTATAGGGTCATGCTTAGGTCATGGTTAGGGTCATGGTTAGAGTCACAGTTAGGATTATGGTTAGGGTCACGACTAGGGTCATGGTTAGGGTCATGGTGAGGGTTAATGACAATGTCCAGTTGGCTGGCTTAGGGGGACATCTCGTATTTCACTGCTCACCCGCCGAGCGGCGTGGCCATATCGCCGTGCCGGCGCCGGGGCCTCTCCTCCGGCCACGCGAGTGTGCCGTCGTAGCGGCCCGTGTACCCCATGTCGGCGTCGGCACCCGTCCCGAAGGCGCCGGCGGCAGCCGCCGCCAGCCTCTGCTCCATGGTCTGCTGCCGCTTGTGCTTGCCGCGCTTGGAGATGACGGCCGACGAGAAGGCCTTCGAGACGGGCCTGTGCCCGGGCCTCTCCTCGGCATGCCGCGGCTCGGCCCGTACGGCCCCCAGCGGCTCCCCGCTGTTGCCGTCGCCCCGGTAGAACCGCGCCAGGTTCCTCGGCAGGTTCTGCTCGTAGGCGTCGTCCGTGAATTCCGCGTCGGCCCCGTACGGCCTCCTGCCGAACGGCGGCTCGCGCTCGGGCGGCCGGCGGCGCTGCCGGCACTGCAAGGGGTCGCCCGTGGCGACGACGCTTGGCGCCGGCGTCCTCGTCAGCTCGCTGATGTCGTCGATGAGCTCGTAGTTGCGCGGGACGCTCTGCTCCAGGTCGGCATAAAATGCGTCCGAGTTGGCGGCGAAGCCGACGGCAGCAGCCAGGTCGCGCAGCGGCACCGTCGCGGCGTCGCTGCTCGGCCCATCGTCGTCCCTGCCACCACGGGCCACCGAGCGCCGACGCGCCAGCAACGCCCCCAGCAGCTCCTCTTCGGCCACCACCTCGTAGTTCGTCTCGAGGTTCGGTTCCAGGTCCAGCGACGCTTGCCGGGCCTTGAGCTGCGGCGCCGGCGCTGTGAGGCCGGGGTACGGGGCCGTCGGGATGGCATGAGGGAGCGAGCCGGACGACGGCGCGTAGCCCCCCGGCGCCTCCGCGCCATCAGCCTGGCGCAGCTGCGGATAAGCCAGGTAGGACGACGATGGGAAGATTCGGCAAGGCGGGACTGGGCCGGCCGGTGCCGGGTAAAGTCCCGGGAGGCACGCCTCCTGCTGGCGCCGCGCCGGCGAGAAGCGCGGCGCCGCCGGCCCGGCGTCGAGTCCCAGGGCACGCGCTGTGGGGTAGCGTCCGGGGTCGGTGGCGCCACCAACGTCGCCGCCGCCGTTCCTCTCCCCCTTGCGGCCGAGGCCCCGCTCCAGGTTGCGCATGCGGGCGTCGATCTCGCGCTCCTCGGCGTCCAGCTCCTCCTGGCGCTGGCGCAGCTTCGCCGAGTCATGTTCCACCCGCTCCAACTCCGCGTCGATCTCGCGCAGGATTTGCTTGCGCTGCACGGGCACAACACCGGGCCCCGCCGGCGCCGCCGATCGCCCGTCGGGTCCGCCTGCCCCCGGCACGCCGTTCCTCGTCGACGCTGCCGATGGCGCCGGCGACGGAGATGAGGCGGCGGGCCCGGTGGGTGGCCGTTCCTCCATGGGAGGGTTGGGCAATGTCCTCTTGACCTTGCGGCCCGTGCCGGGGCCATCAACCTGCAAGGGAGAACGGCACGCATGCTGTCAGGCCGTCAACTCTGCATCGCTACAGCAGCAAGCCTTGGTTTACATCGATCGGATAAAGGCCGGCTGGCCGAGTTCCGCCCTCAACGGGCCTCACTGGTCAAGCTGAGGGCTCTCGGACAATATCCTCCGGCGACAACGGCGGCCACAGGGCCTGACGACCAGCCAGGAGGGCGACGGCCTGAAACGTTGTTCATTCAGATAAACCAATAACAACAACAAAAAATTACTATTAAGGTATTTCACTGAATCACCAAATAATTACTGATGTCATGAACTAACGTAATTTAATCCAACACCGTATGATATCATTTAATTGAACGCACAACTTCGAATAAGTATGGTATGTACGGTGCGAAATAACCAACATACAAAGATACAACTCTCGTGCTCACCGCAGCCTTGGAGCGCTGGGGCCCACGGTGACTCCCGGCTCCGTCGTCCTCCTCCTCCTCGTGCCGCCGGGAGGGCGGCCCCTGCTGCCCCTGCCGCGCAGCCGGCGTGGGCGGCAGGTGCTTCTGCGGTGACACGTGCGCCTTGTTGAGCCTCTCGCTGGTGCCGAACGGCGCGTCCAGTGGCTTGCCGCACGCCAGCGGTGACACGGGCGAGAACAGCAGCTTGGGCGAACGGGGCGATGCCTCGCCAGCCCCGGCGTCACTGGGATGGAAGCCGGCTGCCCCAATCTCAAGCGGTGCCGGCCGCCTCCCGCCGTCGCCGTCGGTCTGGCAGCCGGAGCTCCGGCCCAAGTGGGTCCGCTCGGGCTTCGAGATGTCGTAGAAGTCGTCACGGTCACGCCGCGAGACGGTGCCCGGCGCCGGCTCCGTTTGCACCGAACAGTCGGCACTGGTTTGGACGCCGATGCTCGATGTGAAGACGCGGGCCGGCGGAGAACCGTCGCCCACGACGGCCTCGCGACCCGGTCCACTGGCCCTCACGCTCCGACCCCTCCTCCTCCGGGAGGAACTGCCCCAGCCAGCGCCGCCACGGCCGTCCTCATCGTCCGTCTGCACGCCGCAGTCCACGCCGTTGCGGCGCGAGCGCCGGCGCTCGTCGCCGTCGTCGTCAGTCCGGATGCCGCTATCGAACCACGGCCGCCGGACCGATCCCCTGCCGACGTTCTGCTCCTCCTCGCTATCCATCTCTTCGTCCTCCTCCCAGTATGACGATGACCGCGCTCCTCCGCCGCCACTCCCCAGGCTCCTCCGCCGGGGCGGCCTACGCCCTCGGGCATCGCAGAGCGAGAGCTCGGCCGTGGGCCTGGCGACGCTTTGCCGGGAGGGCCGGCGCGGGACGCGGCCGCCGGCGCCGGCCTCGTGCGGTCCCGGCGCCGGCCAGCGTGGCCCGCCGAGCTCTTGCCCGGCCCTCGTCGTCCACCACGGCCCCACGTTGTGGTTGAATGCGGCGGCGGCAGCGACGGAGGCGACCGGCGGGGTCGCCTGGATCATCTTCTGCTCCTCCAGCTGCTGCTGCAGCTGCGTCTGCAGCTGCTTGATCTTGTCAATCTGCACGTGGTGGTGGACCATCTGCTCCTGCTGCAGGGACAACTGCTCGCGGTGCTCCTCTTGCTGCCGCCGGAAGAGACGCCGCTTCATGCCGTGCAGCTCGCTCAGCTCCTGCTCCACCAGGCGCTTCTCCTGGTCGAGGCGGAGGCGCATCTCCACGCGCTCACACTCCATCTCCTCCTGCAGGCGCCTCTGCTTCACCTTCTCCAGCTCCAGTATCTGCTGCTGCAGCTGCACCTGCTGCTGCTCTGCCTGTTTCTCCCGCAGCAGCTCGTGCTCCTCCAGCTCCAGGGACCACCGGCGCCCCTCCGCCTCCACCGTCACCTCCCCCTCGTCCCACCGCTGCCCGACAAGGGCCCCCTCCCTCGTGTCCGGAGCGATTGTGCCGAGAACGTACGGACCCAGCCGCCGCGTCGCGTTCTCCTCCTCAGAGCATCCTGGTGGAGCGCCGTCGCCGTGGGGGCCCGGGCCGTAAGCGCCGAAGTAGCCTCCCGGGCCCGCCACGGCCACCGCCGCTGCCGTGCACAGCTGAGGGATGCCGTAGCCCAGGTGGCTGCTGGCGGTCTTCACGGTGGCGGTGACGGCGTCGGGGGAATATGCCTGGGTGCCGGCACCGGCCAGCACCGCCGAGAAACTCCGTGACCCCGACCCCCTCCGCCACTGCTGCTGCTGCACAACCGTTGGCAGGAAGTCCTCAAAGTTCGGCGCCGCTTCCATGTGGCCGGTCGCCCCGTTCCGGTAGCCAGCGGCGCCCAGAGGGCCCATGATGGATGACGGCTGCGCGGTTACGGGGACAGCGGGCACCAGGTAATCTGCAACCTCGGACGGCACCGCCGCCGCCAGCGCGTTCAGCGCCGGGGCACCCACGCCGTAGCCGGCAAGGGTGAGCTGGCTCGTCGGTGCTGCGCCCTTGCCGTCGCTGTAGGTCAACCACTCGCGCTGGAGCGAGGTGAGTTCCGTGCACAGCTTGTTGATCTCCCGGATGGTCTCCTCGGTTGATTGGCAGTCCACGTGCGCCTCCCTGGATGCGCCGCGGCCGCCGCTGCCATTGTCACACTCCATCTTGGAAATGGCGTGGTCCGAGTTGTATCGCCGCATGGGCCTCAGACCGCACTCAGTGTACGCCCCAAGGGCGAACTTGGCGCCCAGGCCGACATCGCCCGACAGGAGGCTGCCTCGCGCCACAAAGCCGTTCTTGGCCGTCAGGTCCATGACCTTGCCCGTCCCCGCGCCGTCGTACCTGAAAGGGCAGCTGCCGTAGTCGCCGATGCTCGCCAGGTTGGTGTCGGAGAAGGAGGAGCGCAGGGGGCCAAGCGGGAAGCAGTGGTAGGCACTCGCGGATTCGTGCCGGCGGAGGAGATCGGCCTTCCCCTGCACCGCGATGGCAGGCGGCGGCGACGAAGCTGATGGTGGCTTCCCCCAGAGCGAGGGCGAGCGGAGGAATGGGAAGTGGTAGACGACGTCGCAGCACGTCGCTCGCTTCCCGTCGCCGCCCCGGACGAGATCCGCCGGGCCCTCCCCCGGCCGCGAGAGGCCGCTCGCCGCCTCGTCGGGCCTCCCGTCCGGAGACGCGGCCGCGATCCTCGGGCCCGGGCCACGCCCGCCTCCCACCGTGCCGTTCGGGCGGCCGTTGTGCTCTGGCTGGCCAGCGGCGCCGAGGCGTCGCTCGGCCCGCTCTGCCCGCGACGCCTCCGCACTGGGCGCTGCTGCGGCCTTCACCGAGGGACCGGCGGTGATGGTGAGACCGAACGCCGGCCCGTTCGTCGGCGCCACAGTGGTGGTCGATGCGTTCTGGGCCAGGTTTAATGGCTTGCTGATGCTGTTGCTGCTGTTGCTGGTAGTGGTGGTGGTGGCGGGGGTGACATCATGCGGCGACGGCACAGGCCTGGCGGCCACTTTGTAATTTGTGGGCACGTTCGTGCCACGGTTCACGACCGTCACCTTCTGGCTCTGGCTCTGGCTCGTGTTCAAATCCAGCGCGCTCAGGTTCACGATCCCCGGCTTCACCACGCTGCCTGGCTTGTTGACGGCGCCGGCACCAATGTTATCGCCGCCAAAGCGCCGGCTCTCCGTGGCAAACGACGTCAGGTCCACGCCCTGGTCCGTCATGATGAGCGGCGGCGTCTTGAGCATGCGCAGGTCGACGACCCGAGACTTCACCCTGCCGCATCTGGCCTCCTCCTCCTCCTCAACCTCCCCCCTCTGGCCAAATCCATCATCCGGCCATTGGCAGGCTTGCGGGCGAGCGAAGGCCCTCCATGGGGCGCCAGGCTCTTCGCCCGAGGCCCGTGAGCACGGTGCAGAGGACGCCGTCGGAGGCCTTGATATCACGTGGTCGACAGATTCCCCTGCGTCGTACAGCAGCGCCATGGGGTTCAGCTCGGAGGAAAAGTAGAACTCCGCGTCGACGGAGGAGCCACGTCTGCTGCCAGCACCGCCACCAGCACCCTGGCTGAAGCTGGACAAATTGTGCAGGAGGGAGGCCTCCTCCATTGCATCATTGCCCACGGTGAACGAGAGGTCGTGGCTAGAGCTCCTTAAAAGTGGCGGCGGCTGCTTAACACTCGAAGAGATGGGCACCTGTGGCTCCTGCCGGTAACCCAACGAGCTTGTCAAGCGCACGTCCTCGGCAACGGCCGGTGCTGTCACCAGCTGCTGCTGCTGTGCCGACGAAGGAGAGGCTGAACACGGGACGGTGTGAGTAGTGACGGTTATGTCCGAGGCCATGGGTCGGTAGTCGTGCTGCGAGTCGGCCTCCGGCAACGCCTCCGCTGATCCAGCGGTGCCGGCGCCGTCCTCATGGTCGGTAAAGTGCTGAGTTATTCGCACAGCGGGAATGGCCGGGAAGGCGACGGCGGTGGCGACGTGCGGCCTGGCGGCGGGAATCGTGGCGCCGGCGCCGCAGGACAGGTTCACAACGTCGCCCGGCCTTCCTTGCCTGCGAGAGGCAGGCGATGGCGAAGCCAGCTGCGTCGGGCTGATGCCGGGCGTGAGCAGAGGGGGAACGTCGCCCAGCAGGTCGCTGTAGCCATACCTTGTGCCCAGGTAATCCGTGGCGCTCCCTGTCGCCGCCAACATGGTTGGCGTCGCGGTGCTCGTCGCTTCCCCGCATGCCCGAAGCTCGCGACTCCGGCTGAAGTCGAACACTGCGTCACCACCCGTCTCCTCCCTGTAGGGCCTCCCCGATATTCCGTGCCACGCATCGCCAGGGCCGGCGTCGTCGGGGCCAGTATCTCCGCCTCCTGTAGCGCATGGCAAGGCTCCAGCGCAGCCGGGGATCGTCGCCTCCACCACCACCTTCGGACCGTCGCCGACACTGCCATCGTCCATCGGCCGAGCCCGCGACTTTATCATCATCTCCTCGTATGCCTCCTCGGCACTCTTGAGCACGCGCTCGGACGACACGCGGCTCCGCGCCGCGTACGACTCGGAGCCCTCGTGGCTGGCACTGCGGTTGATGGACGTCAGCTGCTTGAACTCCTCCTGCAGGCGGTAGATCTTCTCAGCATACGACTCGAAGCCCTCGGGCTCCGACTCGATGCTGGGCGAGTACTCGGAGCAGGAGGAGCGCCGCAGCTCCTCCATCTCGGCTGCCTGCCGCAGCTCCTCGGTCGGCGACGCGTCCTCGATGGGCGACAGGTTGCTGGGCGACGCGCGCGACCGTTGCCTTCGCCGCTGGGCCCTCAGGTCCTCGCGCTCGCGCTTGGACCTCCTTCCGGCGCTCCTGCGCTGCTGCTGCTGCTGCTGCGGCAGCTCGGCTTCCTGAAGCCCCTCCTGCTCGCGCGGCGCCACCCGCCCCTCGAGCGCCTCCTCCTCCTCCTCAGACGAATCTACAATCGCGGGCGGCTGCTGGTTCTGCGAGTGCGAGCGGTTCTTCCTGGGCATGCCGACCTCGTCGTCCGGTGCCCTCCCTCCGCCGACGACGGCGCCAGCGCTGACGCCGCGGCAGCCCGGGCTGGCGTCGCTGTCGTCCTCGAGCGAGGAGACGGAGGGCGACGTGGCGCTCCCGGCCGTGCGGCTTGACAGAGGGAGGCAGCTGGACGAGCCGTTCCCCGGCGATCGGTCGTCGGGGCTGCTGCCCAGGCTCTCGGGCTCCCTGTCGAAGCGCAGGCTCTCGCCGGGGCTGCTCACGGAGCTCGCGCTCTCGCCGTCCTTGCAGGGGCCGAGTTTCACCGCCCCCGAACAGCCTCCGGCGTCGCCCGCCGCCGCCGTTCCCCCGCCGGTGGTCAACCGCAGGACTTTGCGTATCAGGTCCTCCTCCTCGTCCCTCTCCCTCCCGTCGATGGGGGCGGCGGGAGGCCCATAGCCCCGTGGGTCGCGGCCGCTCGCCAGACCCTGCAGAAGTCGCGGGAGCGGCGACGGCGTTCCTTCGCTGCTGTCCTCCACCATGTCGTGCCGCTGGATCCGCGCCAGCTCCTCCTCCAGCGAGTCCAGGCTGCCGCTGCATGTCCGCGGGGCCCTCGCTCGCTCCGCCGGCGCCGCCGCCGTGTCCCTCTCCCGGGCCCCGTTCCGGACCTCCACGGCGACGGGGAGTGACCGTGGCCGGGGCCGCCCTGCGGGGCCTTCGGGCGGCGATGGCGCAGCCCCTACGATTCGCGTACGGCCCTCGCCGGCGCCGTCGTTGCCAGGGCCAGGGTGCCCGACCGGCACACGAGGCCGCTCCCCGGGGTCCGACTCCGCCGAGGCGGCGCGCCGGAGGTCGTCGTCGCGGGGGGCGAGCGGCGCCAGCGGGTCGGTCGCGGAGAGGCGCTTGGTGCGGGGCGGCCCTGCGCCTTCGCTCCCCTGCGGGTGAGAATGTCCGCCCAGTCAGGAAAACTAAACGACGACTGCCCCGGGTCGATCCATCGCCGGATGAGAGAGGGTCTCCACTTCGCCGTGTGCATCGTGTGGTTCGTTCGACCATACTTCACCGCTCTGGTTAGTTTCGGATTTCGGTGAAGGTGGAGAGCATAGTTGTGGGAGCATAGTCCAGTACAGTACAACAATGGATTCTGCTGCGCTTGTGTTTTGCTAACCAATTATCAACCAAGCAGCAGCCAATAGCACCTGTTTGCATGCATGGCGAGCGCCTATCCAAGCATCATCCAGGAACAAACCCTGCATAACTGTCAAGATCTAACGAGAACGCAACCTGGGTGCAAAATCCTGGTGGTGGTGGTGGTAGTGGCGGTGGTGGTGGTGGTAGTGGCGGTGGTGGCGGCGGCGGCGATGGTGGTGACGGTGGTGACGGTGGTGAAGGTGGTGGTGGTGACGGTGGTGGTGGTGGAAGTGGTGGTGGTGGAAGTGGTGGTGGTGGTGGTGATTGAAGTGGTGGTGGTGGTGGCGTTGGCGTTGGCGGCGGCGGTGGTGGTGGTGGTGGTGGAAGTGGGGTGGTGGTGGTGGTGGTAGTGGCGTTGGTGGTGGTGGTGATGACTGTGGTGGAGGTGGTGGCCTCACGTGGATATCAGTAACCCAGCACTGTAGAGGCATAATAGAGGGGGGTTTTTTGGAGTTAGATTGCGTAAATATATAAATGTGTCATTAAAACCCGCCACCACCCGACACAGCCAACTAATAAGGGCTGTCACGTAATAAGAGCAGGCCAATTCGTCATTAGTGCAGCACACCGGTGTGTTGGAGAGCCAAGCCACAACATTTACAATCTAAGTACGACGTTTCGCCAGTACTTACAACTAGCTTCATCAGGCAACAGCCAGATTTGTGTAGAAGTCCACCTGTTTCGTTCCTTATATATGGATGATATTGGTTGCGAAAGCCTACGTGATAAACTGTCGAGGCAGGAGTGAGGGTTATTGTAAAATTCACTTCCCATGGGCGTGGAAGTGCCATATCATGACTTGCCAGAAGAAGGGGGTAAAGTAGGTGAGGACTAATCGCCATCTGTTCCATCTCCCTTTCCTGTGGGCGTCCAGGAGGTTCTGTACTCTGGCTCGCCAGTAGAAGGCGGGACAGCAATTGGACTAAACTCCATCTGTTTGTTCCGTCTCTACGGGGATAGAGCGTTGCTTCCTCGCGCAAGGCGTGGGGTTTTCTCCAGATGCTCCGGTTTCCTCGTCTCGCACGTCAATAATAATACACACAACTCATGAATAAATAATAATAAACACAACTCGTCGTCGATTGGTTGGAAACATCTCACAGATAAAATGCTCATTGTAGCAGCAGCAGCAGCAGCAGGGGCGGCGGCAGCGGCAGGACCCTCCCAATGATTCTGACTCGACGTGGCCGAGTCACCAAGGCTGAGTCGTAGGCACAGCGGCTCGCAGCGATAGAAGCCGCCTCAGCGGCCGTTGCCTCAGCAGCGGCGGCGGTGTAACACTGCATTTGGCATCGCAGAGCTCTTGTGATGTCCCTTCTTATCGACGCTGAGTGGCTCACTCCATCTATATCACTTGCATTGTTGTTCTGCTTGTTTACCCAGGAACGCCTCACTCGGAGTCTCAATTATCGTATTTCATGAGGGTCCTGCCAGGTTTTCGCCAGAGAGGCGCAATGCCGCTGCCGCTGCCTTTGCTGCCATTGCTGTTGTGCGTTTTATCCCAACTTAGTAACTTCCAGGGTAATTGTTCAGCGTTGGGATGTTTTTTTGGCCAAAATCTCGAGAACTCCGGAGGAAAACCTATGCAGGACAGTGGGAGAGCATTACCACTCACACTCCATGCACACTCACTCAGGAGAACATACACACTCCACCAAAAATATCAACAACCTCCACCACAAAGTGGCGGCGATGTCACCGCTGCCCTTGAGCCAGGCTAGGTGCACTTTGAGGTCACGGGAAGTGTCAAAGGCTCCGCTGGCAGGAGGTCATGGGACAGACCCAGGTACAATGGTTTGACTGACTGAGATGGCTGGCACATACCTCAACTGTGTCGGAGCCATTTTCTGTTCAGCTGCCTTCTTCGGTCCACTCGTTGTAAGCGTCACTCCTTTGTCCTGCATTGCTGGTGGGCGACTGCCTCCAACTGACCTGTAGCAGCGTCCTTTACGAGCCTCCTCCATAGAGGCCATTTTGACACTGCTGGTACCAGTCATCGGCAAGTCCACTCAGCTCCACATCCTCCCGTACCACATCACTCCATCTCTTCTCTAGCCCATGCCGCGCCCGTTTAGGCCCCTCTATCCGGCCAAACAGAAGCTGCTTGGGCAGGCGGTGGCTGGGTATACGGGCTGTATGACCCAGCCAATGAAGCCTTGCTCGCCGGAGCTGAATAATGTTACTGTGTTCAGATGTGTGAGCGCCTCTCACAACCCAGTCTGGTTAAACCCAGAATGCATCATAGGCAGGCCAACCTGAATATTCCATACTGACGCAGATGTTCCTTTGGAGGGTTCCAGGTTTCACAAATATAGACAAGGGAGGGATTAACTGTGGCTGAGAAGACCCGCAGCTTCGTATGGAATGATAGGCCAGGTAGCTTCCACACAGCGTCACACAACTGATGAAAAGATAATGCCACCCAACTCATTCGGAGTGAGACCTCTGCTGATAAAGCGGAGCTGGTCATAAGCGCACTGCCCAAAGATGGAAACTTCTCCACTCTTTCCACAACTGCCCCATCACTCATGCGGAGTGGATCAGTCAATGACGTAAAATACCCAGACAGGTGCTTTGTTTTTGTGGGGTTGATAAGGCACCATCTGTGAGTGGCAGGCTCCAGTATCAGCAGTAGCGTCTCCAAATCCTTCTCAGAGTGGGCAGCAATCACCAGATCATCCGCATACATAATATGGTTGATTAATAGGGAGCCATCCCTTGTCCGCACCTGGGCATCGATCAGCCTCCCATTGTATCTATACCAGATGGAAATGCGGCTGGTACATCCATGGAAAGCTTCTCGAACGTCATGGTCAAAGAAGATGTTAAAGAGTGTTGGGGCCAGGGGACATCCCGTTCGCACCCCAAGGTGAACAAAAATTGGCTCCGACTCCCAGCCACGTAGATTTACCCGGGCCTGTCCACCATTATAAAAGTCCTTAATGATTGTGAGCAGATGGTCTGGGGCTCAGAAAGCATGAAGAATAACCCAGAGCCCTGGTCTATTAATGCTATCATAGGCCTTGACCACCCACACTCACTAACAAAAGACAAAGATCCTCCGTATAGCCTTAGCAGACTGTTGGGACAAGTGTTGTTAGCGAGCAGCACCTATGAAAGCCGGAACAGCACACGAGGGGGTGGGTGGCCAGCACCACGTACAGCCTCCTTTGTCTCTCCCGTGACGATGTTTACACACCGCAGCAGCACTGGTGTTGGCCGTGAGCAGAAATCGAACCCGGATCGCCAGGTTCATAACACAGCGAACTAACTGCTACACTACCACTCCCCACACACAATCACTGTCACACACTCTCTAGAGAACCGTGGGAGAACATACACACTTTACTTTCCATAATAAAGGTTTTTGGGTTAAATCGCGTTATATATGTGTCGCAACCCTCCACCACCTGACACGGCCAATCAGTAAAAAATGTGTCACATTGACAAAAGACAAATATTTCGATACTTTAGCCCACCGCTGTATTTAAGAGTGGATCCACAACATTTACAATTTGAGTAGTACGCCGTTTCGCTGAAAATTACATCCAGCATCTTCGGGCGAATTGCCAGAATAGTGAAGCCATCTTCCCGTCGTAAAAAGTGCAGAATGACATGCTCATTGTTGAACCCCATCAGGATTCGAGATCAGAGGCGGAGCTGGGGGTGTATGCAATTACGTAAAAGATTAGTAATCAGCCACTTAGCATGTGATTCACCTGTAAGGAATGGAAATATGTGTTGTGTATTACTTAATAATACGCTTCCAGGCTGCTCTGAGTCTATAGCTATCACAGCGATTAAAATTATTTGAATTCTTCTCAATTTCAATTGATTCTCTAATTAATCTTGGCCAGCAATAATTAGTTCTGCATAACACTTCAACGTTATCAAAATCAATTGAATGTCCTTGTTGGCAAGCATGCTCTGCCACTGCTGACAGCTATGTTTGGAATAATTTAATGGTCCTTTGGTGTTCTTTTAGTCTTACGCTAATGTTACGTCCCGTTTGTCCAATGTAACACTTTCCACATAAACAATTAATCCGATATACACCTTCTGAGGATAACTTCGGTAATTCATATTGAGTACAAGTGCTGTGAGTGAGCACCTATGAAGGCTGGCATGGCACACGAGGGGGTGGGTGGCCAGCACCACGCCCGACCGCCTTTGTCTCCCTAGTGGCAATGTTTACACACCGCACCAGGTACTCATTTGAGGCCGAGTCGACCTAGGGGAGGCCCAGGACCGGTTCAAATAATCGTCACCGGTGTTGGCCGTGAGCGGGATTCGAATCCGGGTGGCCAGGTTCGTAGCGCATCGTAGCGCTAACCACCACACGACCGCTCCCCACTCTACCCACGTTGCTTTCACCACGAGGGTTGGTGGGTCATGCAGAGATCCGTGTATCTTCACTGGTTGTTGGCCGTGAGTGGGAATCGAACCCGGGTCGGCAGGTTCATAGCACAGAGCGCTAACTGCTGCACCACCACTCCCGACTCTGCAGAAGAGGGAGGGAACTTACAGTCGCCACACAGAGAAGCGCCTGAGTCGAGCATCGAGCGCACAGCCACTCCCTGCCGTCTGATGGAGTCCCTGTTTTAAGCGGAGGACTGAGTGGAGGACTGGGTTAGGGAATCGTCCCATCCCTCGTGGTGGTGGAGCCAGAAGCAGTCCACCACCACACCTCGCGTAGCTCCAGGCGGCACCAATCCAGCCCCTGACGGAGGAACGGCAGCCCTGC